TACATTCACAATCACACATACACCTACACATAATGATACATATACATACATATAACAATTTATGATTAGGCTTATAACCAAAAACTTACTGCAGGGAAGGATTCAATTGTAGAATTGATCCTCTCCTCCCCTTCAAGATAGTTCTTAGGTTATACTATCCTCTGAATTGACCCTGATGAGTCTTTGCATTAAAAGGGGAAGACGAAACCATGGTAGGTCAACCATACTTGGCAACCATCTAGATTAATATATCCTAGGTTAAACATACTATTGCAATTTAAAACCAAATCAAAAACAAACAAACAGACATAAATTGATTAGTGATGGGAAGAGTACTTGTTTTAAAATGTACAATAAGTTCTTACTCTTGCATTCCATTTCATTATGGGATCTTCTGAAAGTTTGGTGGAAGTTATTTGACTTTCATCAGAACTGAGACCTTAGTGTCTAGTTCAAACCTATATAAAACCTAACCCTAACCCTAACCTAACCCTAACCCTAACCCTAACCAAAATTCTCCACTTTTCTAATATTCCATCAAATATTCTCCAATATTCTCCAATATTCATCAATATTCCAAATTACCCAAAATTCTCCAATTTTCAAATATTCCATCAAATATTCCATCAAACACCATCAAATACTCTCAAATATTCATCGATATTCCAAATAACCCAAAATTCTCCAATTTTCTAACATTCCATCAAATATTCCATCAAACATCATCAAATACTCTCAAATATTCATCGATATTCCAAATTACCCAAAATTCTCCAATTTTCTAATATTCCATCAAATATTCCATCAAACACCATCAAATACTCTCAAATATTCATCGATATTCCAAATAACCCAAAATTCTCCAATTTTCTAATATTCCATCAAATATTCCATCAAACACCATCAAATACTCTCAAATATTCATCGATATTCCAAATAACCCAAAATTCTCCAATTTTCTAACATTCCATCAAATATTCCATCAAACACCATCAAATACTCTCAAATATTCATCGATATTCCAAATAACCCAAAATTCTCCAATTTTCTAATATTCCATCAAATATTCCTTCAAATACTCTCAAATATTCATCAATATTCCAAATTACCCAAAATTCTCCAATTTTCTAATATTTCATCAAATATTCCATTAAATATTCTCCAATATTCAAGAATATTCCAAATAACCCAAAATTCTCTAATTTTCTAATATTCCATCAAATATTACATCAAATACTCTCTAATATTCTCCAGTATTCTTAATTTCCCAAAATTCACCAATTTTTTAATATTCCATCAAATATTCCATCAAAAAGTATCAAATATTCTCTAATATTCATCAATATTCCAAATTTCCAAAAATTCTCCAATACTATCCAATATTATATTGTTCCATCAAATATTCAATTAAATATTCTCCAATATTCAAAATTCTCTAATATTATCCAGGAGAAATATTAACAAACTCTATCAGGTGGCAAATTAAAACAAGTCCATCTGTTGCCTCATACAATCAACTCCACCAGGTGGCAAACACCAACAGTGTCCACCAGGTGGCTAACCCTAACCATATCCACCAGGTGGCTAAAACTGAGACTGTCCACCAGGTGGCTCACACTAACAAAGTCCACCAGATGGCTAATTTAAACAAAGTCCACCAGGTGGCTAATTTAAACAAAGTCCACTAGGTGGCTAATTTAAACAAAGTCCAACAGGTGGCTAACCCTAACAAAGTCCACCAGGTGGCTAATGTTAACAAAGTCCACCAGGTGGATAATACAAACAATGTCCACTAGGTGGCAAATACTAACAAAGTCCACCAGGTGGCTAACGTTAACAAAGGCCACCAGGTGGCTAACTCTAACAAAGTCCACCAGGTGGCTAACTCTAACAAAGTCTACCAGGTGGCTATTATGACCAATGTCCACCAGGCGCCTAATGCTAACCCTGTCCACCAGGTGGCTACTATCAATAATATTCAAGACACAAAATTAATCTATGCCTGTAATAAAAACGTAATAAAGACTTTTCCTTAGTCAAAGATCCTATTTACAAACAATACAGAACGTTAAAAAAAAAAAAATTTTCAAAATTTTTCAAAGTCCAGACTCCAGCCATTTTACCGAACTTTCGGCAACCATAACTTTGTTAATACTGCCCCAAATCGCCTGAAATTTTGTATGACCTTGAATCTCAACAAAACACTCAAACTGCAACAATAAAAAATTTTGACCTAAATTTTGACCTAGAACGTAGAATTTTTTTTTAAAAGTTATTAAAAAACAATGAGTAACCAAAGAACATTATTAGGTATATCTTTTCACCAAAACTTATATGAGCCCAAACTACATCTTCATACCAAAAATCAACTTAAAAAAGCTATTAGAAGTTGGAGTTTTTTTCTCTATAGAATGATAGTATTTTTTTTTAAACGTTTTTAAAAAACAACAGCCAAACTAAAAACATTTTTAGGTCATTTTTTACAGATCCATAATCAGCAAACAAAACTGTATATTTCCATAACTTATGAACTCAAAATTTTTTTGGGGACCCCTGTGTAACCTAACCCTAATGATCAAATATCATTCAATATTATTCAACATTTTTAAATTCCTTTAAACATTACATCAAATATTTCATCAAGTATTCCATGTAATAATCTTTAGCATTATTTAAAATTTTACATTCTTCAAAGTTCTTCAATGTTCTAAAACACAATCAAATATTCCATCAAATATTCTTCAATATTGTTCAATATTTCAAATTCCCTCAAATTCTCCAATTTCCAAACATTCCATCTAATATTCCATCAAATATTCCAAATTACCTAAAATTATCCAATTTTCTTATATTCCATCAAATATTCTGTTTTACCCAAAATTCTCCAATTTTCTAATCTTTCATCTAACACCATCAAATATTCTCCAATATTCAGCAATATTCCAAATTACCCAAAATTCTCTAATTTTCTAATCTTTCATCAAACACCATCAAATATTCTCCAGTATTCAACAATATTCCAAATGACCCAAAATTCTCCAATTTTCTAATATTCCATCAAATATTCCATCAAATATTCTCCAGTATTTTTCAATATACTCCAATTTTCAAAATTAGCCAATATTTCTTCATAATTTATTATTTCATCAAATATTCTTCAATGATCAAAATATTTAACTAAATTATCAAATATTTTAATTTTCCATCAAATATTCTCCAATATACTCAAATATTCCAAATTATCCAAAGTTCTTCAATATTTTAATATTCCATCAAGGATTCTCAAATATTCTCCAATACACTCAAATATTTCAAATCCTCCAAAATTTTTCCATATTTTAATATTCCATCAAATAATCTCCAATATTATTTGATATTTTTATATTTCATCCAATATTCCTTCAAATTTTCTTCAATATTCCAAATTGTCCAATATTATTCTATATATTAATATTCTATCAAATATTCTTCCATATTCCATATGGATTTACAAATTCTTCAATATTCAGAATTCTTCAATAAACTCCAATATTTAAAATTCTACAAAACCTATTTTTCAATATTGTAAAATTCTATCAAATATTTGTTCAATATTCTCCAATATTTTCTAATAACTTTCCATATTTCAATATTCCATCAAATATTCTTCAATATCCTCTAATCTTCAATTATTCCAGCAAATATTCTCTATTTTTTTCCAAAGTTCCAAATTCTCTAATATTGTCCAATATTCTAATATTGCATTGAATACTCTTCAGTCTTCAAATAAAAATCTCCAATATCCAATATATTTTCAGGAATAGATGAAACAACCACTTGAGCCCAACATTATTTTCAAACAGCCATAGCTCATAAACAACTGAGCCAATTTGACTCAAATTTTGTACAGTGATTGGTTCATATTAGGACTAAGCTTGTACCAAATTTCAGGGAATTTGCAGCACTTTAAAATTTTTGAAAATTTCAGTGATCAACTTACAAGTTGAGGACAATAGTATTCAGCTGTAGGCTTTTTAATAATTAGTCTGGAGGCAATTGTAAAAAGCCTATGTTTTAAAAATCAATTAAAAAAGGGTTAATAAATTGGAAATATTGTGAGTATTTTAATTTGGTGAAATTGATAAAGTTATTGAGATAGCAGTTTTCTTCACCGTTTTTTAGAATTTCTATTGCATTTTTGTTGGTGATACTATAATAGCTTAGGCTAGGAGGTTAGGTTTAGATAGCAATTCCAAAACAGCTACACTGTCAGTGGAATTGTTAGGGGGTTGCCAGTCTGTAGTGATTGTGCTAATCCCTATCACTTGGCTTTCCTACCAAACCTAACAAAAAGTAGGAGTGCATCATCTTCAATTACTGTTAAAGATGTCATTAAATCATTTGAGAATTTATGAGTTGAGGTTTTTGTCAAAAAATGATTACCTCCTCAGGGAAACTGTATATTTCACATATTTTTAAACACAAAAAAAATGATAAAGTCATTACAGTTAAGGTGAACCTAGTTGGCTAAAATTTTAATAAAACAAGTTTTCTTGAACTGTACATAATGTATCATTAATATCAAATAATATTTCAACAATACAACAAAATAATTCATGATATTTATCAAATAAATCTTTTAATTTTTGTTGATCAGATTCACTTAATTCTGAAGACATTTCCACAAATTCTTCTTCTTCTTCTACTAATTTATTAAAAATGGAATGCACTTGTTTAATAGTTAGTGAGTCTTCAAATCCAAGTCCAGTTATTTCATCTTTAACAATTGTTAAATAATACAGCTTATTCTCAATCAAGTATTCAAATTCACTCATCTTTGAAGGAGAGAAAATATTAAAATTAATGCAAAAATTTTTTTAACTTGTATTAATTTGTATTCTAAATAAAAAAAAAAAATTTTAAAAAAACATACAACTTTCCAATGATTTAGTAAAATATAATTGTTACAAAAAAATAATTCTAAAAAGCAATACAACACATTTTTTTAATTTAATTTGTTTTTAGTACTTTTTTTGCAAATTTTCAATGTGCTTATTAACAAGTTCTTTGAGATTGGGTTTTTCAACCAATGAATCTGGATTAATTTCTGATAAGAAATGAATAATTTTAATATAGGGATTAACCAATGTTGAGTGTTTATTTTGTAATTGAAAAGTTTTAATAAATCTATTTTGTAAGCAATTTTTTAACCCATCCAAATCAACCAACAGATCACAATTTCTATAAGGGAAATTACAATGTCTGCTTGCATTATTAATTTCGATTGCAATACATATGAAAAGCTTATTGGAAGAACTTAGTTGTTTGAAACTTTGAAAAAATTCACCAATATAATTATTGATAACAATTGGATGTTCTGCTAAATGAATAATGATTTGTTGGCATTCAATTTTCCAATCTCTAAAGATATTTGGCAAATCACTAGCACACATATCTTCAATATGAATTATATATAATTGCCCATCCAAACCAAACTTAAGAATATTTACAGCAAGTGAAGCTTTATCATAATCAAAACTTGTATCAGTGATTATTACATATTTACACTTTATATCCTTTTCAGGTTGTACCTGTCTAATTAATTTGGCAATGTCTATTTCTATATTTGATTTTTTTGCGCAAAAGTTTTGTAAAAAATTAATAAATGAATGACTTTTTCTCCTAACAAACACAGTTAAACTACCCTCTATTTTAATATCGTCACATTTTTGTTGATGTAATAATTTCTTATGTAAATGTTTAGCAAAGCTTTTATCCAAACTTGTTAAATCTTCGAAATAGTTTTTTTTCACAGGGCTTTTCTTCTCCATTATTTCATCATCTGATGACTGTGAGGATGACAGCAATTCAATACATTCAATATGCTTTCTTTTCTTTGATGGGCCAACTTCAACACAGTAATCTTTCTCAATTTCTTTACAACTTGATCCTGGTTGTAAATTCTTCAATTGAACAACACTATTTATTTCCTTTGTTAAAAAATATTTTGTAATTGTTGCATTATTGCTTTTCTCACTTTGTTTTTTATTTTTAACCACAGATTTTTTACAATTGTCATTTTGTGCAGTTTTCTCTTCAATTAAACACTTGTTTTTTTCAGTTTCAGATTTGTAAGACTTTGTTGTCTTGGTGGACTTGAATTTAAATAGATTTCTATGCTTGTCAGCCATTTTCTGTTTGATGGAATATAAAACAATATATATATATATATATATATATAAAATAGAGAAATAAAAAAACATCCTGAATTAAAACCAAAAATAACATATACAACAGTTTATTTTCAAAAATACTATTGTTTTTAAATTGAATTTTGTTTGTTTGCGAAGAAAATGCATGAATTTATAACAATCAACAGATATTTTTCTTTTTTATGACAGCATTTTTACAACAATGTTTGCTTTAAATTTAATAAGTACAATTTTTTAACAATATATATAGGACTGGTATCTTTATTTTCAAGATGATTATTCTTTTAACAGCATTAACCTAAATGACAAAAATTAACAATAACTGACTACAAAGGAAAAAAATATAAAACCAAAAAAGATAATCTAGTTAGTTAATTTTTTTTTCACTGCTTATGACAATCAATGATGTAGGAAAGAATTGCAGAAATTAAAATATCGTAAAGGTTATTCAAGTTTTTTCTCATTTCAATCTCTATGGAATCGTCTAATTGGTCCAAAGTTAAAGTATTATCATCTAGACAATCGAATGCAATGTAAAGGCAATCTTCCCAATCTTTGTAAGATTTCTTGTTGAAGGATTTTCCAGTTAACATTGCCAAAAGTTTATTAATCTGCCCAGTTCTACTATTATAAAAGTATTGAAATTCATCCATTATTGTTTGGATTAAAAGAAAGGTTAAGGGAATCTGTATAAATGAGAATCCAAAACAAAAATTCATTGATGACATAATGACTAATAACAACACAAACACATGGCTGTAGATTAGAATTAATAAAACTAAAACCTAAAACCTAAAAAAAAGAACCCTTTTACTGTTATTCTGTGTCTAATGCATTGAATATAGAAAATTATCTGGTAGCATATCTAAACCTAGTTCAATGAGAACTTGTTTCAAATTAATAACGCAGGTGACATTGGCAATTGTTTTTAAAATTTTTAAACAGATATCCATATTATTATCTTCACTCTGCCCTGCTCCATCCCAATAAAAATCATATAGAACAATTAACATTTCTCTAACAAAACTTAAACTTTGACAGTGATTATTTTCAAAATCTGAATTTGTTGTATTATCTGTGAGCATATCCAGAGTATAATATCCTGTCAAACCTATCAAGTCATTGTTAACTTCTTCAATAACCTCTTTAATGTAGTCAGTTGACATCTGTAGCAATTACATTGTGATTAATTCTTTTTCTCCACTCTACCAATATGACAATGTATTAGGAAATCTGCCATATTTTTCCAATTCAAATATTTTAATTGTTTGTTAAACAAAATAAATAGACATTTTCAAATGTAACACCCCATTTTATTTCAAATCTTGCCTAAACAAATTAATAACAAAAAGTCAATGCATTCAAGATTTCTCTACTCAATACACAATATTGATTATTTTAACTGTGTAGAAAAATGTTTCTTTTTAAAATCCATTGAATGTTTTTTATTATCAAGAGTGCATTGAAATTTATTTTATAGTATCAAAGTAATTGTAGTAACTCAATTTCATTATTAAGACAACAAATTATAGTAAAAATCCTAAAAGATCAATACTATAATGGTGTTACACACTGGCATTGTAACAGGGTTACAAATCAACTCACATTGAATTTCTTTAAAAAATCAGAAGATTTTGTGAAGGAAGAGTAAGAGGAGACTACAACTATGTACAGTCAGTTCTCAGGCAATAATGAAGAATCACCTACAATTCCCTTCCCTTTTATACAACTATTGCAAAGCCAGCAGCCTCCTTATTGGCTCTTCCCTTATCAAATCAAAAACTTGACTCCACCCCCCCTAAACCTTCCTTGTAAGATAATATCTATACAAAATAATAATATCAATATGGGTTAAATATATGAAAAGCAAATGATGGTGATTGCCATTAATTGAACATTAGTATTTTCAAAAATATGAAATATGCCATAATCCACAAACAAACAAACAAACAAATGGTCTTAAAAAACAAAACACAACATTAAAATGTTAAAGAAAAACAATTTAAACAACAACAGTACTTATTGAAAAAAAATGGTTCATTTTATTAGTCAATATGCAAGATGTTTGACGTTTTCTTCTTTTCAGTATGGGTTCCTGTTATGTGTAAATTCCAATTTATTTTCTATCGTTTTCAGCTGCAGATTTGAAAAATGCTGTAAATTGGATGAGAATTTCTTGTAAATTTTGCTAAAATCAGAAAAGGATGGACAATTGTAGGGTTAGGTTGGAGAACATTTTATAGAATTTTACAAAATGATATAAAGAGTGCAACAATTATTATTACTTTCTTTATTATTTTATTCAATTGAAACATTAACATAAGGTTATTCATTAATTTGTTTTGTAAACAAACTAATCAGGGTGGTTTTCTCATAAAACTGTCAAGTGCCTTTCATCAGGCCAAAGTGAAAAACCTTTTTTTGATTATACAACAAAACTGTTGATTGATATCTTGATTGATATCTAAATTAAACTAGACCTTATTGCATAATTGAACAGAGTAGTGTAATACACACTCATTTTCGGTTAGAATAATTTTGTAATAAAGCCTTTGAAAAATTGATTGAAAAATTAGGCAAAATTTCGTTACAAATAATAAAAAACAATTGAAATTTATTGTTAAAAATTGTAAAAAATGAACAAAAACAATCATATAACAAAATCATCTAAAAGATTAAACATAAAAATTATCAATCATTTCAAAAATTATTGTTATTATTATTGGAGGAATTGACAAAACATTTTCCATTAATGTTGATGGTAACATTCCAGTAGAAATCAATCGACAATAACAAAAACGTAATTCAGTTTAACAATTGAAGCATTCACCATAATAACTTCATTAAAATATATATATATATAAAACGAAAGGGTTAAAAAACAATAACTGGACATGTAAAGAAAATGTTTGAAATGTAAAAAAAATGAACAAGGAATGAAAATTTCTACTTCCAATAATCGAAACAATTTATGCCAAATATATCATTTAATTTTATAATTGACACATCAAAATCAAATTTTTCTTTAATTTCATTTAAAATCTGCGTAATTTTTGTTACACATAAAAATATAGAATTTTGCATAAAATCATTGTGTTCCTTATTAAAAAGGCGCATTAAAAAATTTTTTTTTTCTAATAATTTTATGTATAAAATGAAAGCATCGGTTTCAGTAAAATTATTGACATTATTATATATATTCTCCAATGTTCTACAATGGTTTTCAACGATTTTCATCCAAGGTTCCATGACTTTTTTTTCAATGAAACAAAAAACAACAGCAAATGATTAATATTAACATTAAAAGATTTTTGGTTATTTAAATTGCTGACTGGTCTTCATTACAAATTTTCTTACTTGTATCACTTAATTCATAAATATTTTGTGCAGAAGAAAATTCAATAATCTTTAATGAATAAAGCTTAATATTTTACAGTTTAACCGTTTTTCTTTTACAGGTTAGTAATGTGACCTATTTATGTGACCTACTTTTTCAACTCTTTAACGGTGGAAATTATTTTAAAAATAATGGTCAGAAAATATTTCAATCAAAGTTCATTAAATACAGTTTTTTCTTTCTTTATATAACATACTACTAACACCTTAATTTCCTGCAACACTACAACCTACATGTAAAATACATACAGACATATGTCAAACAAATTAAACAGCCAAATATTATATTAATTTACAAATATAAAACACAACACCCCCACGACCTGCAGCTAATAGCCACGCCCATCCAACACCGCCAACAAGGTCACCGCCACCACCGCCGCCACCACCGCTACCGCCACCTACTTGACTATTTAGGTCAAATATTGATGACAATAAAACATAACTGCCTTATGTACCTGATATATAAAGAGCTGCGTCTATATATTTTCTACATATAGACATCTATATTGAACAAATTACTGAAACAATTCTAAAAGAACTGAAACTCTAATCAATAAAAAAAATATTCTTTTACTAAAATATAAAACACAATGCTGCCATCGTCTATGTAGGTTATATAATGAACCCAGTAGCTATATAGGCCAAAAAACAAGCTGACACTATATATCTTGAAATATATTAAAGACCTACTTTAATAGAATATAACGCCCTTACATACATGATATATATATATATATATATATAAAGAGAGAGCTGCCTATATGTATATATGCAGAAAAACGCATGGACACTATGTAGGTCAGATAAAGACCTGCTCAATATAATAAAAATTGGCAATAATATAACACTATGCTATTAGGTGCCTAAAAGGACAACCTGCTACATTAGAAAACAGCAACGTTATGTAAATGATTATAGACAGCTACCTCTATATATATATACGCAGCCACTGCAGCCGCTGCCACCGCCACTCACTCCACTATTTAGGTCAAATAACTATGACCCACTACAATAGAATATAACGGCCTTATGTACCCTGAAACTCTAATCAAAAACACAACGCCGATGTCCTCTTTGCAGGTCATATAATGACCCCAGCGGCTAGAGAGAGCTGCCTATATTATATATATAGACGACTTATATGTAATCGATGAATGAGTAGCCAGTGTAGGTTAAAGCTATTTTCACCTACTTTACAGATATAAGTAAATATAGCTGTAGTAATAAGTAATAATGTATCAGAAATAATAATAAAAATATATATAACGTAAAGGGAATTTGGCTCAGGGTTAGAACCCATTCACTACATATCTATATATATATATATGCAGAAAAACGCATGGACTCTTTATAGGTCAGATATAGACCTGCTCAGTATATAATAAAAATTGGCATTAATTTACTACTATAAAACGCAACACCATCACTAATGTCAATGCTATGTAGTTCATAACAGGCTCACCTGCTACATTTGAAAACAACAACGTTATGTAAATGATTATAGACGGCTACCTCTATATATATATACGCAAAAAAGATAGGCCAACCCTATGTAGGTCAGATAACGACCGGCGCCACTATATAGGCCAAAACGACTTGGCTGTTATTAAACCACTATATAGGTCGAATAACGATGACCTCCTACAATAGAACAACAATAACAACGTTATGTACCTGATATATAGAGAACTCCATCTATAAGATACTTGAATGTTAACATCATATATGTAGGTCATACATTATAACAGTAATTATATTACGAAAAACACTCTTTTTAAGTATATACTGACTACGACCTACATATATAATACATATAGACGACATTACAGAAACAAACAATCTTTAAACTTTTTCCGTTTTATCTACATATATAGAGTGTACAACCTATTCTTTTGACCTATATATGCGACCTACTTTTTCAACTCTTTAACGGCGGAAATTATTTTCTAAATAATAATAGCAAAGATTATGTTTTAACGCCTAAATATTATTTCTACAGCTTAATGTTTTTCTCTCTTTTTGTATATATTACATCTACTAATTGTACACATTCTTTCGGCGACCTACAATATATATATAAATATATAACCCTGTATATACCTATACAGATATTGAACAACAAATTACAGAAACAATTTAACAACTGAAACTGTAATATGGCACACAGGACAGACGTAACATATATATATACATACCCAGTAATCGGAATAGGTAGGGTGAGAAATTAGAGAAAAGGGTAGGCGAATAATGTAAGGAAGATGAAAAGATTTTCAGCGAAAACGGCAGGAGGAAGGGTTGTTGAGGCTGTAAAAGAACAAATGTTTGAATAATTAGTAACTGTTCTTCAAAAATAATTCTACATCTTTACCTTAAAACGGTTGAAATGTGAGTGATATATTGCCGAAAATCGACCTGTATTTAAACCAGGTAGTTGAGTTTAAACAGTAATCAGTTACATAATAATTTAAACGTCACAAACAAGTATTTGGGTTAAATGTGTTTGTTTGGTACATTCAGTTTGGTGTCAACAATTACCAAACAAACACTTTTCAAAACAATTCTCAAAAGTTTAAACAGAGTGCTCTAAATATAAGACTAAACAATCCTATTAATTAAACCTGTCAAACGTTAATTCTTTAACTACCAAACAAACATTTGAATTGAATATATACACCTTGACCAAATCACTAACCCAATATCATTCTACTATTCGTAGTCCTTGGCTCAACATCTCATCAGAATTCTATCAATTTGGTAAGAATTACTTT